ATACGGGTTAAAAGGGCATATTTTTGGCCAAGCCCATGGGCTCAGAGATCCCACATTAAACCGGCCTTGTGCCACATGATGCCCTCGTGGGGGGGGTGACTGAATATCGCTCTTCACTATGGTACCTAGACTTCATGAATTTAAACACAGTATTAGACCGGCATCGAGATCCCATCAATTGACAGCTGAGCTGGCTAGATATAGCCGTAAGTTCTATGTTAACAGTTTCTTCTCTCGCACTTCTCATTGTGAAACTCTCTTCCGGCACCATGCTCTCTAGCCAGCAAAAATTTAAATGCAATGTCAGTCACTATCTAACTGTTCTTCTGATTCCTCTTTTCTCTTTCCACTCAGAATTAATGTTTCTGTTCCTAATTCTTCCACATGCTGCAAGCCTCTTGCATCTTAGTGGCTTTATTGCCTTGCATGGAGTGATATTGATTAAAAAAGAAATAAAGAGTAAAAGCAGGAAAGAAAGAAAAAATAAGAAGAAGAAGAAAAGAAGGGGAAAGAGAATAAAAAAAAGTAAAACAAGAAAGAGAAAAAAAGAAAATAAAAATAAGGAAGTGAAAAAGAAAAAAAGAAATAAATTGCTACCAAAAGCTTTAGGAATACCACGTGCTGTGTATTAATGTTAAAAGCCCCAAAAAGGTAGATATCGCAAGCTTCCTATAAAAAGAATGACGTTTACAGAAATGTCATTTTCGTTATCATTTGAAGGAAAGCTAAGATTCCATGATTTGCAATTCAAAATGGATCCATTTAGGATTATGGATCCACAAGCTGAATTATGCGAAATTCAACTATAGATACTCCAGGAAAAAGCAAAAAATGGCACAGGTAGAAATCTTTTTCTTTTTGGTCCTGAAATTAATGGAAATCTAATGTTAGAGTGAAATGTTGCCTTTATATTTTAATCTGATGGTGAAGTTAAAGTGGGGAAAGCAATGATTCATCAACATTAATTCCAAAAGAGAAGAACATGAAAGAATTCTTTTTAAAAAATCCATCAATTGAGATATGAGATAGGACAAAGAATCTTACTTGAAGGTGATCTTGCTTAATGCTCTCCTGTTTGAGGTTCACTATTCACAGATAACATTAGATATAAAATCTAAGAAAAAAAGTGATCCACTGTAAATTCATAGCTCATAATTCATAGCAAATGTAAAACATATTTCATAATTTTGTTACATTTGTAACAGATATTTTACTGATGACTCTTTTCATACATTTGTAAGAAATTTGTTACATTTTATCTTTTTCATAGTTTTCTTAGATTTGTTACATATGTGTTACCTTCATACATTTGTGACATTTTTAAAACAGATGTGTTAAACTTTGCAAACATTAGATTTATTATAACAAATGTGTTAACATTTTCAGATTTTGTTACATACTTGTTATGCTTTATTACATTTGTAACAAGTGGTAAACATGTTCATATTTTGGTTACATTTTATGTCACTCTTTTTCCAACTTTTCGTTACATTCCCAATAAATCAATCACTGTTTTCCTACTTTTGTAACATTCATAATAAATGTATCACTTTTTCCTACTTTTGGTAAATTCATAACAAATGTGTTTTTTCCTATTTTTGTTACATTCATAATAAATCTGTCACTTTTTTTTCCTAGTTTTGTTACAGTCATAATAAATGTGTCACTTTTTCTGACTTTTATTACATTCATAATAAATGTGTCACCTTTTTCCTACCTTTGTTACATTCATAATAAGTCTGTCACCTTTTTCCTACCATTGTTACAGTCATAATAAATGTGTCACTTTTTCTGACTTTTATTACATTCATAATAAATGTGTCACCTTTTTCCTACCTTTGTTACATTCATAATAAGTCTGTCACCTTTTTCCTACCATTGTTACAGTCATAATAAATGTGTCACTTTTTCTTACTTTTGTTACCTTCATAATAAATGTGTCACTTATTTCCTACTCTTGCTACAGTCATAATAAATCTGTCACATTTTCTCTACTTTTGTTACTGTCATAATAAATGTGTCACTTTTTCATACTTTTGTTACATTCATAATAAGTGTGTCACTTTTTCCTATTTTTGTTACATTCATAATAAATCTGTCACTTTTTTCCTTCTCTTGTTACAGTCACAATAAATCTGTCACATTTTCTCTACTTTTATTACAGTCATAATAAATGTATCACTTTCTTTGTACTTTTATTACATTCATAATAAATCTGTCACTTTTTTCCTACTCTTGCTACAGTCATAATAAATCTGTCACATTTTCTCTACTTTTGTTACAGTTAAAGCCTATGTGCTACCATTTATCAACTTAATACTTTATCGCCTTTGTACCAAATGTGATAATGTTTACCCTTTTTCTTACTCTTTGCACAACATTAACAGATTTGTTAAATGTTTGAATTTTTTTTTTGTATACTGAATTGGTTTAACTAAAAAAGTATTATTTATAAAGAAATAAGCCTATTTTAAAGCATTAAAAGTGCAAATGGAGAAAATGCTCAATCGTTTTGTTTGCATCTACTTTCTGTTTCTGATTTTATATTTCATCTTTTGGTCATTTAAATATAAATCTCATGAGTCAGTTGTAGAGTTTAAAATATTTTTTGTTCATCTTTCTGACTCAATTGACTCTTAATTGCTCTCTCAGTCTGAGTCAGCAATCTTTTAGTGGTCCAGATGCAAACTTGTAACAACATTTATCATAGACTGGCTTTGCAGACATTTTTGGTCTTATTTTGTGGCCATTTTTAAAGGCATATATAATTGAAGTGCAATTGAGGTGAAACAGAATTTCATGATAAATCTCCGGAATATGTTCAGACTTTATTACATTTTTGGTTTGATTTGTAATGTTTCTTTGACATTTGTAATACCTGTTTTGTATCAAGTTTACATTTTTTCATTCACCATTTTCTGTTTCTTCATTTTTATTTTTATTCATTTTATTACTTTTTTGTCCATGTTATAAACTATTCTTTGTCTATTTTGTTACCCATTTGCTCATTTTGCTTCATTTTTATTCATTTTGTATTGTTTTTGCTTATTTTGTTAGCCTTTTGCTCATGTTGTTACCGTTTTGCTCATTTTGTATTATTTTTGCTTATTTTGTTATGTTTTGTTCCTTTTTTTTCCTTTTGGTTTGTTTTGTTGCTTTCTGCTCATTTTGTTACATTTTTGTCCATTTAATTCATAGTTCATTTTGTTGCTTTTTGCACATTTGTTTACTTTTTCGTTTTTCCATTTGTTAAATGGGAATACAGTACTCAATATATATATATATATATATATATATATATATATATATATATATATACAGTGTATCACAAAAGTGAGTACACCTCACATTTCTTCAAATATTTAAGTATATCTCTTCATGGGACAGCACTGAAAAAATTACCTTTTGACACAATGAAAAGTAGCCTGTCTCTGCAGCATATATAACAGAGTTAATTTCTTTTCCCCTCAAAATAACTTAAAATATAGCCATTAAAAGCTAAATAAACTTCGATCATGTGACCACAATAGTACCAACTATAAAAGCAGTAAGACAAACCTAAAGATATGTTATGGCCAACATGCAGATAATTTTTTACCTACTCTCGTATGTTGTATAACAATTATCATTTCTTTTTTGTATTGAGATTTACCATATGTATAAACTGAATTCTGATTTAACCCAGAGTAGGAACATCGAATGCTTTGATCTTTGTATCCAAAAATATGTCTTGAAGGGAAATTAGCTCATCTTAAAGAAATATTCAATATCTTCTCATATATCCCAATGATAATTAAATCAAAAACACAAAGACTCTGATGCCATTCCATTTCTGATTTTGATACTTGCCACGTATGTTCACATTACAAAGTGTTGCTACAGGACATATTGTTAAAGATTAGCTTTATAAATATCTTTATGGCTTGCAAACTGTATTTTCTTATGTAATTGGCAAGAAGATCTTTCAAAGTAATACCCACTTTCCTTGGTGTAAAATAAAAGAATTATAACAAAATTACCAAAAAAATATCATGATCTTGTAGCATTCAGTCAGCCAGTTAAGTGCCATATGTGATACATGCTTGGGTGATCAGTAATAATGTGTTTGTGCCATGTATTTTGTCCATATAAAGATTGTGAAGCTTCAGATAATTATAAATTTTACAAGGCTGTGCTATTAAGGCTTTCACTGATCATTGAAATGAAATTCAAACACTACGATTTTGAACTTAAACTTAATCTTTAAACACATCTCCTCAAAAAAGGATAATGATTTAGAAAAAATGTTTTGTGTCGTTATTTATCATGTCAAACCCCAACTTTCAAATTGAGTGCAATACCACAGTTTCAAAAGTGACCTTCCCTACTTCATAGCCGCTTTCGACTTCAGTCATTTATTTGTCTTTTATTTAAGGATTTTCTCTGAATTTGTTCGTTCGGTTTTATTTTGATGCTTTCACACTGAATTCTTTTTGTTGTAGGTAACGTGTGTGTTTGTCTGTATTTTCATGTCATTTTGTTCTGATGATTTTTGCATAAGTTTATTGAAAATCACGCTAAAACTAGTGCAATGTATAATATATCACCTCTTAATATAGCTAAATTGTTCAGTATAATTCCTCTTTGAAGTAAATGAAGCTTTTATTTGATGTCACAATGATTTAGTATATATCTGTACGATGCATCTTGACCATATAAAATTTATAAACCTTGTGCTATAAGGCTTTCACTGATCACCGAAATTTGAACCTAAACATAATCTTTAAACGTGTTTTCTCAAAAATATAGCTGTAATTGTGCAACACTTTCCCTGGTCTTCCAAAACTTCTAACACTGCGGTTGGTCGCTGAAGTAACCACTTCAATCCAGAGCTAACCTTACCCCATGTTGTGATTTAAGTTTGATCATAAGGCAGCTAAGATCGAATTGTTGCAGGTATCTTTGTGTTGGGCTGTCCAAATAATCTGGTGACATACAGAAAAAAAAATAACACTTGAATAAATTAAACAAAAGAAAATACTTTTTTTATGTCTCTTCTTCCTACGATAATTGGTTTATATCATTTATGTACTGTGTCACATATCACCAATTAACACACGTGAAACAAAAAAACATCTGTTGATTTATGATCAAAATAATTCTGATTTTAAAACTCCACTGCTTTGTGGCCATAACCAATCATGGAAAAGGCTTCAAGAATAAATCCTGAAGACAAATCCAGGGTTGGAGTCTTTAAGACAAGTCTGTGAAATTCAAATTCCAAGTTGGTATCTGGTGTGGAATTTGTTGTTAATGTGCCTGCACCACAGGAAGAGACGCTGCCTATGAGCTATGTTGTTCAGTGGTTTGGCTGGGTGTAAAAAGCCGTGTCTTGACTTGAACCTCCTTGTCATTGCTTCACAGCTATAGAATGGATGACGAGGGTCAATTTCATGCAGTGGTGACATACACTACCCACTGTTTCAAAATGTTTTCCTTGTTTTTTTATTCACTACTAGCAGTAGAGCCCGGCATTGCCCGGGGATGTAACAGTAAGAGATGGATAAAGTATCGACCATCATAAAGACTGAAAAATAAAATTGACAAAGATTATTGTTTAAGGTTGACGGACACGCATGTCTTAATTATTTTTTATTTTTTTTTATTTTTTTTTACGAATTGGTCAAACCCAAACTCAAACAAAAACATTGTTTTCAATTGTTATGTGTCTACCGATTGAATAGAATTTTATTATAAACAATTGTCTTGTCAATGGAATTTTTAAAGCATTCTGAATGTAAAAATGAAGAAAAAAGTGTGCAAGACAATAAGAAACACTACCTGCCAAAAAAAAAGTGAAGTTTTTTTGAAATCGGTTGAAAAATGTAGGAAATCCGATCCCATATACAAAGGAACACACACACGCACAGATAAAACCATGATTTTATAATAAGTATAACTTGATATGAGTTGTTTGCCTTTCATTCTCGAGATGCCTCTTAATCGTGTTTTCAAATTGATTTTGTGCAAAAACAATTGTTTTTCTCCAATTTTTGGTGCTGTCAGAACCACCGCAAGGTAATTTTGCGTAGTCCTGTGAAGTTTTGTTGAAATCGGTTGAAAAATGTAGGAAATCCGATCCAATATATAAACGCGCGCGCACACACACACACACACATGCACACACACACAACCTGGATTTTATAAGTATGATGATAACTGACTACATTTTCGTGGCTATTTTACATGACGTTGGCCTTGTACAGTGTGTACTTTATGTAATGGTTTATAGCTTCATTTGTACGCTGATCTTTTTCCTTCAGCTAACTCACCAAACAGAAAATGCTTAGGGATCCTATCGTCCTTCACCCTAATTACATGACCCCATTTATGGTACCAGAGTCTCTATAGCAGTAGACCGACTGTTTCAACATCATTCACACACACAAACACACAGATATATATATATATATATATATATATATATATATATATATATATATATATATATGAATAGAAGATCAAATATAGATCAAGTATGGATAGGAATCCAACAAAATGATAGGATAAAGAATAAGTAAGAAAATTTAGCATCCAGAATGTTTCTCACACATATTTAAATATTATCTGTTACATCTGTTAAACGTGACACGTATCTAAGCAATAAGAAATAACCAGACACGACATACCATTAATCTGCTTCTCTTTGTTTTTTATCATTTTTCATCATTTCTATCTTGATCTGGAAAAGCTTTAATAAAGTGAAACATATATATATATATATATATATATATATATAGTATACGTGCATATATATACATACACAGTATCAAAAAAAAAGATAACCCTTTATGAAGTCGTCAAAAAAACAAATGTTAGCGAATTATGACGTTTTTTTTATATATACACAAAACCCTTTCAGAAAAAAATAAAAAATAAAATAAAAAGATAATTAAATCTCCATTGACGTTTAACCAGACTAGACGATGTCATCTTCCGCTTTTAATTTAGACACCCCAACCTTACCCTGACTCGACCTCTTTGAATGTAACTGAGATATTGATACAAATTATTAACCCTTACCCCACTTTTTTTAAATAATTGCCCTACCCGTTACCATAGTAATTTTAATTTTAATAATGAATATGCTTATAAAATGCGTAAATTTCAGGAATAAGTTATTCCAAAATATAGAAAATAAAGTATAATATATTAAAAAAAATCCACATTATAATCCAAAACATTGCAGCATCTTTATTTAAAATATACACTTTTCTCTTATTGGAACAACTATAACCTCACACACACACACACATACACACACACACACACATGCGCGCACACACACACACACATATATATATATATATATATATAAAAGAAATATGTTGTAGTGGTTCCAACGAGAGAAAAGTATGTATATTAAAAAAGAGAGGAGGTGCCGCAAACGTTTTTTGGTTGTAATGTGGATTTATTTAGAAAAAATATTATGCTTTGTTTTACATAATTTTACTACGACACGTGTTTCTGGTCTCGCGACCGTCTTCAGGTAAAAGTGGAGATTTCTACATATTATTAAAAATAATTAATTTTTCTTCATGTTCAATGTGAAATGTTCTCGATATGAGACATTCTCTGTTTGTGTGTTGGCAATCCGAATTTTCTTTCAAGAAGCCAAAACATGAAGGAGGAATTTACTCGATTGGCTGTAATAATTATCACAAAAATACATATGAGAAACCTCAAGGAATGTAAATAAAAGATTATATGAAGACAAAGGGGACATTTTACAAATACATCGAATGGGTTGGTTGCTACCCATAAAAGACGACTCACCACAATTTTGACATAAAAAAATGATACCCTGATCAAAGGAGAAAACAATTCACTTCGACGAAAATGTTTAGAGAGTGCCTTGATCACTTCTTTTTATTTATCCTCTTTTCTTTCTTGCCTTTTTTAATAATTTTCCCTTCCCTAAATTCCTTTCTCTTTTCCATCTTTTGATTTCTCTGTCTTTCTTTTTTTTTTTTTTTTGTTATCAGCCAATTTTTTTTTCTTTCTTTCTCTCCAATTTTCATGACATTCTCTTTCCCTCTACTTTTCAGTTTTCTTTAAATTCTTCATTTTATCATTCTTAGTCAAATATGTCTTTCTTCCTCAGTCTCTTTCCCATTCTTTATTATTCCCTCTTTTCTCACTCTTTCTGATTCTTCTTCTAATAGATCTCTCTTCCCCACTCCCTCAATCTGTATTTATCTTTCTATTTCAACCTTTTTTCTCCTTATTTTTCTCTCTCTTTTTTCTTCTTATTTTTTCTGTCTCTCTCTTTTCTTTTCTTCTCATTTTTTCTCTCTCTTCCTTTTCTTTTCTCCTTATTTTTCTCTCTCCTCTTTTCCTTTTCTTTTTCTTTTTTCTCTTTCTTTCTTTTCTTCTCATTTTTTCTCTCTCTCTTTCTTTCCTTCTTATTTTTCTCTCTCTTTTCTTTTCTTCTTATTTTTCTCTCTCTTTCTCGGGTTTCTTTTTATATTTTTATCTCTCGTTAAACTTTCTTTCCTTTTCTTATTTCTCTGTCACTGTCTTCCTCTAATTTTTCTCTCTTTCTTTCCTTTTTTTATTTCTCTCTTTCTCTTTCTTTCCTTTTCACATTTCTTTCTTTCTTTTTCTTCGACTTTCTTCTCTCTTTTTCTCTTGATTCATACTTCTCTCTGTTTCTCTTTCTTTCTTTCCCTACTTTTATCTTCTCACTCTTCGTCCTTTTTTCCTTTACTTATTTTTCTCATTTTCTCTTTTTTCCCAAGTATTATTTCTCTTTCTCTCTTTTACTTTCTATCTATCTATCTATCTATCTATCTATCTATCTATCTATCTATCTATCTATCTATCTCTCTCTCTATATATATATATATATATATTATAAACTAACTGATTTAAAATATGTTTTTTTTGCTACACAGTTCTTACCGTGTTTCAAAAATGGAAGCTAAAAGCTTCGAATCTAATTTTGTAATCAAATTAAAGACATTAGTTTCATTTCATCCTCAAGCGAATTTTGGAGCAACTTATTTTTAAATTTACTAGGTTTTAAAGGTACGCCAAAAAATCATAATTTACAGTTTCCAAGGATACAGAGAAATCCATTCTTCCAGACAAGGGGTGGTTGCGTGTTCATTTTCATTAACTTAGAACACCGGACTATATATCTTACTGTTCTTTCTTTTTATTTATATATACATACATACATACATACATATATATATATATATATATATATATATATATACCTTTCCTTTTATCATTTTTTTCTTCTTTTTCATTTAGACATTTCATTATCTCTTCTTTTTTTCTGGGCCTTTTTAATGTTTTTTTTTTCATCTCTTTTTCGACATATTCATATTTCTCTCTTTCGTTCTTTTTCTTATTTCTCTCTTTCTTTCTTTTTCTTATTTCTCTCTCTTTCGTTCTTTTTCTTATTTCTTTCTCTCTTTCTTTCTTTTTCTTATTTCTCTCTTTCTTTCTTTTTCTTATTTCTTTCTCTCTTTCTTTCTTTTTCTTATTTCTCTCTTTCTTTCTTTTTCTTATTTCTCTCTTTCTTTCTTTCCTTTTCTTATTTCTTGCTCTCTCTCTCTTTTCCTTTCCTTTTATTTCTCTCTCTATTTATTCTTTTCTTATTTCTCCTTTTCTTTTTGTTTCCTTTTCTTATTTCTCTCTTTCTCTCTTTCTTATTCTTTCATTCTTTCTTATTTTCACTCTTTCTCTTTCTGTCCTTTTATTATTTTTCTCTCTCTTAGTTTCTCTCTTCTTCTTATTTCTTTCTCTATTTTTTTCCTTTTCTTATTTCTCTCTTTTTCTCTTTCTTATTCTTTCTTATTTTCACTCTTGTATTGATCTGGCTCTCTTCTTCTTTTTCTTCTTCTTCTTACTTTTCCTCCTAATATTTTATCAAACAAGCTTTAAGCACTGCTTTGGACTTCCCATATTTTCCCAGCACAACCTGCGGAAGTTTAAATTGTCAAATTAACATGAACCCAAACATCCTCATTGGACTATTTTTAACAAGCTAAAGAAAAAGAAAAACAGATTGTGTTATTAGAAACCCAAATAAATGGGGAGGGGGATGTAGAATTGAGATCTAAATATCTTGTTTGTTCCATGGTGGAAAATGGCTACTTTTAGACATTTTACTTGCAAAATGAAATTCTCAATCAATACAAATATTGTAACTCTCCAAATATACAGATCTTGTTTTAGTTAGTAATCAAAACTTAATGGGGTCACACATTATCAATGCTAAAGGACAATATTTTATATTGAATTCTAACTTGCAAATTTATAAATGGACCCTTTGTCTTTTCCATCAAATATTGCTGCTACATCTCGTCTGCTGCTTCCATTATATATCTAAAGATTCTTGGCAGAATCCAGAGAAGAATCTGCAATGTTATCGGTCCTTCAGTATCTGTCTTTATTTCTGAGATGAGGTATTATGTACACTATCTATATTATTTTGGACATTTTTTACCAGTGCTCATATTGCAATTTTTGCTGTTATCATTGCAATATGAGCACAGGTAAAAAATGGTTGCTGAAGACATTAATTTTATAATACCCAGAAATTCATACACAGATGTCCTCAAGGACAGTGAATAAAGGCGTTAGTTAGATCCAGTGACAGGACCTAAAGAGTGTGAGTTCAATACCTGGTTAAGGCGGTGGAGAACTTTGAGAGGGGAATTGACAGGAAATAACTGATATCCATTAGACATGGCACGTGGAACTAGAACAGTCTACCCCAGTGAGTGAAATAAAGGGTTCAGTTCGACATTCCAACCACCTGAAGAAGGCCAGAGCATACAACGGCCGAAACATTGTGATAAACATGGCAACAAAGATGAGGACAATAGTCCAAATAATGTAAATAATGTTAATGGTCTTGACCTGGAATTTTGGCTTCAATCACTTTCTCACCACTCTAATATAGCTTCCCTTCACATCTTGTATAAATATTTTCATGGAAATTGTTCTAATGAAAAAAATTTTTTCTTTCTTCATGAATTTAAGTAAAAAAAGACTAGATTGGCAGTTAGGTCTCATAATTTCAATGTTGAGATTGTTACTTCTAACTGTAAGTTCTATTCTAATAGTTTCTTCTCCTGCACTTCTCAAAAAGAATGGAACTCTCTTCTTGTTCCTGTTTTCCTGTCAACTAGAATCTTCAAAAACCAGCTGGAAAGATTTTTATGACCAAGATATAAAAAAAATATTTTAGAGACGCCAGATGATAGACTAAACGACATGCAGATGTAATTGGATACAACAGCTGGCTGACCAGATGTTCTATTCTGCTACATCTTATATGTTATAAATTATTGACATTTGGAAAAAAAAAAGTTCATAAAATATGTTTTTAAAAATTTCCGACCATATATACATTCCACCTCAAAACAGGTTTCAGCAAATCGGAGACGAAAAAATGAGTAGTGTGTGTATGTATTTGTGTGTGCTTAAAATAATGAAAATTTTTTTTTTCCCCAACCTGGCATTTCTGTTGACTAAAAAAGAGAAAGAAAATGAGTGACTTATTTGAAAAAAAGTCATTTAACATTTTATGTTCTTTGCTTTAAGCGTCTGAATTTAGAGATAGAAATCCATCAGAATGGGTAGAAAATAAATGAAAGATAAGTTATTTATGCATGTGTTCTCCATGTTGACAATACGTTAAAAAATTGGGTAGAGGATCCCAAAAGTGTTATCCATTAAATAACAAAGATTTTTAGATAGATAGATAGATAGATAGATAGATATATAGATATGCCCAGATTTAGATAGAAAGATTCTTTAAAAAATTATGAAGAGGCCTTTTGATAAATAAAAAGATATATAGATATGCCCAGATTTAGATAGAAAGATAGATAATGTTTGAAATGAAGATGCAACAATGAATTGCTAGATATATATATATATAAGCCCATAAAATTTAGATATAAAGATAGATAGATAGCTATTCCAAGATTCAAAGAGATAGATAGCTAGATATATAGATATGCCCAGATTTAGATAGAAAGATAGATAGATAGCTATGAAGAGGCAGAGATAGATAGCTAGATATATAGATATGCCCAGAACAATAAATTAGTTATAGTATAGATTTTTAGATGATAGATAGATATCAAGAGGCTGAGAGATTTTCAAAATTTAGATAGATAGATATTTTTGTAGAATTAAATTTTATTTAAATAGATAGATAGATAGATAGATAGATTTTAATAAAAAATAAATTGAGATGAATAAAAAAAGACAATTCATATTTCTTTCTCTCTTTCTCTCTCTCTATCTATATATATATATATATATATATATATATATATATATATAAGAGAGAGAGAGAGAGATAGAATAAAGATAATATGATATATAGATAGATAGAAAGATGCTAAGTCATCATTCCTTTTAATTTAAAATGTCATACTTTTTTTATAAATTCCCAGTTTAGAGATATGAAATTCATCAAATCGGTAAAAAATAAATGAAAGATTTGTTTTTTTTTTTTGTCGATTATATGTTAAAAAAGAATTGGGTAAAATGTTCCGAAAATGTTATTACATTAAATAACAAAATTTTTTTTTTTAGATAGATAGATAGATATGTCTAGAGATAGATAGATAGATAATTAATAATAATAGATAGATAATATCGAATATTTCAAACTTAGATAGATAGATAGATATATTACTTGACTTGACTTGACAGATAGATAGATACAGATTTAGATAGATAACGATGAAGAGGCTGCGATAGATAGCAAGGTAGATAGATATGCCCAGAATTAGATAGATAGATAGATAGATAGGAAAACAAAAAAATATAAATATATATTGGAAAAGATTTTTGGAGTATTGTATTATACATCTCTCTCTCTCTCTCTTTATATATTTATATATATATATATATATATATATATATATATATATATATATATATATTATGATAATCATTTTCATTTTTTTTAAAATTTTAAAAAAGTCATTCTTTTAGAAAGCATCCGAGTTTAGAGATAAATCCATCAAAATCCATTAAATGAAAATAAATGAAAGATATGTTTTTTTATAAAATGCGTTCTCCATATGTATATAATATGTTAAAAATTTGTGTATATATTCCCAATAGAATTATAAATTATTGACATTTGGAAAAATATTTATTTGCAATATTTTTTTTTGAAAAATGAAAAATTGTTTTGCCTGTTAGGCTTCATCAGATCAAAAACAAAAAAAAAAAAAAAAAGTTAAATGTATGCATAATATTGTGTGTAAAATAATGAAATCTTTATATTTTTATAAATATTTTTGCTTTTGTATTAAAAAAGAATTTTTTTCAAAAATTAATTTTTCTTTCCCTGTTTTAGTTAGATGAAATGTGAAAAGAAATACAAATTAGAAAGTGGTTTCATTATTATTTTGTAGAATTTTTTATTGGGGGGAAAAACTAAATTTTTTTTTTTGATTCATGTCAATTTTCATCATATTTTTAAGAAAATATTCAATTTTTCAAAGACATGTTATACCACCTTAGTTTCTGCATAATTGAAAAGAAGATAATGATCCAAAACATTCTTCTAAATTATTTCAAAATAATCTTGATTTAAAAAAGGAATAAAATTTTAGAAATCAAGACTTGGCTGCCTTAATCTCCTAACCTGTCTTCTATTGAATTAGTATGGGATGAATTGGATAGGAAAATTCAAAGAGAATACCCAAAGAGTGAGAGTGAGTTTTTTCAGTGCTTGAAGAAATCTTGAGAAGGTCTGCCATTACTTTTTTCACAAACTATTGGAAATAGTGCCAAGAATTTGTAAAGCAGTAATTAAGACAGGTGGTGGTTTTATTGACAAAAACAAAATATGATACTGTTGTATGATATAATTTTTGTAAAGACATAATTAAGACAGATGGCAGTTTTATTGACAAAAACACGATATGATGCTGCTGTATGATATAATTTTTGTAAAGACATAATTAAGACAGATGGCAGTTTTATTGACAAAAACAAAATATGATGCTGTTGTATGATATATTTTTTGTAAAGGCGTAATTAAGACAGGTGTTTGTTTTATTGATGTTTTATTGATGTAAACAAAATATGATGTTGTATGATATATTTTTGTAAAGACAATTGGTGGTTTTATTGACGAAAACAAAATATGATGCTGTTGTATGACTTTTTTTATGTTTGTCAAAATAAAAGTGAATACAATGTAATTAGTGAAATTTTGTCTTTTTTAAAAGAAAAAACTTGCATTTTTGATAAAAAAACAACTTAAAATGAGACATGTTTGTATTTTTTAATGCACCAGTCCAATTTAAAAATTCAAGAGAGAAAAATTGTCTTGAACAGCACAATGAATCAACTTTTCTAGCAGCAGACCTTGTCAGTGGAAAATGTCATTTTTTTAAAAAAAAAATGTGAAATGCATCACTCTCCTGGACATTAGTATCAGCCATTTATTGACTGACAGACAGAAAGGATTTTTTCAGACGATTTTTTTCTTTTTCATTTTGAAAATATGTTAAAATCAAAAACATTCCTTGCTCTAAATAACAAGAGGATGTATAAATCATTTTTTAGATCATCTATTAATTTGACCTTTATCAAACAAATATATGTATATATACATATATATTGACCAGAGTTTGATTTCATTACATTTAAGCGAACACTCTTGTTCACATTTACAGTTCAGACAGATATTAGTCGAAAATACATCAGTGCACCATCAAGATGATAATGAGCAATAACTTAAAATTTGGAATCATTTTATATAAAAGAATTGCAATCCCAAATAAATAAAGTTAAAACTATGAGTATTTGGAAAACAAAGTTCTTAAATGTTTGTAAAAAAAAAAGTGTTATATTATTTAAACATAATAAATTAAAATAGTATGATTAAAAATAGTTTAAAAAAAATTTTTAAATTTTAAAAAAAAAATTTTCATAAGTTACCAAAAATGTAGAGGTAAAAAA